TTAACTGGAGTGGAAACTATAAACTGCATTTAGTCAGAGCGGACAGGATAGAGAAAACCCTCTATTAAGGTGGATGTAGTTTCCCAACATGATATTAATGTATTCGAGATGAAAACATTTCTTGTCAACGTCAAATACAGGAGACGAAGGGCAGAGCAGTTCATCCAGACCTGCTTTTATGGCCTGGGAGTCCCAGATGAGCTGTCGACAAGCCTCCGTCTCTGCAAGCTGCAGTCTGAGAACAGCCTCCAAGACCGCGAGAAGGGCATCGCAATGAATGCTCAGGTCCAAGAATCCAGTTCAAACCGGGGATATCAACAGCATTTACCATCATTACCAAGAACAATGCAGCAGTCACTGGATTTTATTTGGGACATGTGCAAAATAAAATTCTACAGCCTTGCAATCAAGAGGAGAGATTGCAGGATTGCATCAGTTGTGTTATGAATTGAGAAATCTCTGGAAGACTAAAACACAAACAAGCAAATTCAGTGTGACCTGTTACATCACATTTCAGTATATTCACTGTGCTTTCACAGGGTTGCCTTACACACACATGTTGTAAAGCATGGTCATGTTCATAGAAAAAGAAATAGTTTACACTAGTTATTTGGATGTAAATAAAATGAGTGAGTAAATATGTCAGGGCAGAAATATTGATAGAAAATAAAATGGCACACAATAAAGAGAAAAAGTAGATTCATCTTGAATATGCGAATGTATCAGAGGAAAACACCAGAGAGTACAGGGCTCAGTCTTAGTTGGTACAGTTCCCCATAGCCTACATTTTTGTTCTCTGCAGAACAGACACACACACACACACACACACACACACACACACGCTGCTGAGAGCTATATTATTCCCTCACTGCTTCACAGGCCATGGAAACTCTGAATTCACTAACCATGACCCAGAAACACACGCACTCACCCCTTTCGCTCCTCTCTCGTGCTCTCTCAAGCAAACATAAGTGCGTGCACACACTATAGATATGCATGAAAGCATAGCACAGCTCTAGCACACATACACGTGGGTAACAGCAAAGGCCAACTCGCATTATGCCTGCATCACACACACTTTCGCTGACCCTCACCTCCACACATCAGTTATTTGCAGCTCATCGCGAGGCCGGCCTGATCTGGAATTACATTCTAGTCAGACTCGCGTCATTCTTTGCGGTCAAAATCACTTATCTCGACTGACAGCAGCAGCTTACCAGATTTTATATTAAAAACGCAACATTATGCAAGTTGTCTTTCGGGATGGGAGAGGATCTTTTTTCTGGTGCACTCTGGTGCATTAACAGTCTATCGACAATTTTTAAAAAGCTACATTTGCCACATTTTCTTTACTTCCTCTGAATGACAGAAGGCTTCTTCTGGACAGATATTACACCATTATATTAGGAACCTGTTCCAGCTGAGGTTCCACTTATATATTATTCATTGCACACACTGATGATATTATCGTCCTTCCAGATACAGTTCCCCTCTATATGCCCCTGTGTGTGAATAAGAAATAATCCACACCGATGGACGTAGCAATATTAAAGCATATGTGAACAACATGAATGTTTGAGGGGTTTCCCCTAGAGGATGGGCTCAGGATTCAGGTGGAGGGCTTCACAGGCTCTAGGCTTTCACTGCTGTCACACATTGTGGATTCAATAAGTCGCACGGGCACACGCAAAGAAAAGCTGCACTTCACCTTGTCATAACTCAGGCTTTCACAGTGCTGCTACAGCCTTGTACATAAAACATGATCACTGCTACTGGCCTGAGTTCTCCTTCTGGTTACTGTAGGTTGACTTTGAGGGTTTTTATGGGTTGTTTTCTTTTAATGTTCCCTGTATTTCTCTTCAGCACATCAGCTTTTAAAATTCTTGCTTACATACTACTCAGCCACAGCTACCATGTTATGTTAGCCCTCCAAGTTCCACCGCAACAGCTGTGGCACACAGGAACTCTGGTGGCGTGCTCTGGTATCTGGCACCAAGATTGAAACAACAGATTGTCCTAAGGGTTGGGGGTACGGCCTCCTTGGATCAGGCTTGTTCCAGCACAGATGCTTGATTGGTTTGGGTAGCTTAGTTTGGAGGCTGAGTTACCGGCTTAGGATGTTTGTCATGTTTCTTTAGCTGTTCCAGAGCATTTTTATGGACTGTAGTGAGATGTTTGGGGGTGGGCACTAATGTCTGTGGTTGCTATTGCCAACCATAATGACAGCACATGCCAGGAATCAATGTTTCCCAGAAGAACACTGCATTGAAACGCAATAATCAATGTTTTACATTTAGGCTGTCAGTGATTTGACTCTGTTGTTGCAAAGACTGTATATAAAATAAAGATTTAGTCACTAATCCTGACAAAATATCAAGTTTACACACACACACGCACACAATTTCAAAGTTATTTTTTGTTAAGATAGATTAATTACCTTTTTGTTTGTTTAAGTATAACTTACACATATAAAAACTGCCTAAAAAATTAGAAGAAAAATAATAATACAAATGTGACCTACTGAGCTTGGATCTGCCTGACGAACACTGCACACCATACAACAGCAAACAGTACTGTACACTACACATGGTTACTTAAACCAGTTTGAATGTGCCAAGAAACAAAGCCCTGCAGGCTCTAATCAAAATGCAGTTTTATATTTGCATATGCAACAGAAGTCTTTAGGGGTTCATGTCCAGCCTGAGTTGGACCAGTTCCTAATTATACTAGCTATAGTTCAGCCCGATTAACTGTAGTTTGACAGCTTTGAGCCTCAGGTCTGTGTGCCAAATTCTTTTACATCTTGTTGTTCCAAATATATCCAACTATACTATCCACGATCATGTGAGCTATACGAGCACTGTAGAAGCTAAAGGTGAACCACGCTGGGTGGTGATAGGCTGTGTCTGAGAGACTGGATTAGGAAGGTTCTGGTGACAGAGCCAGAATAAAGTGTATGTACAGTAGCAGTAAATAATAAGACTGAGCTACTCACCGACAGCAGATACATGCTAGAGCACTGCAAGACTCCAGCCAAGATCCTGGATTCTGCTTGCCAAGTGCTGAGTAGGGCAGCACAGTGGATTAACCCCACAGCAAAAAATTCATCCCAAGACCAGCAGGTTTTTTCCCCTAAGCTGATGCCATCATAAAGATAGCAGCAGAAAAACTTCTATGAATTCTGTACCCATATTAAAAATTATGAGTTTTAAACTGTCATTGGTTGCTTACTTTTTTTTTTTTTTAAGAAAAAGAGAAATAAAGAAAGATTTTTCCATTTCTGCCCTTTTTCCATTCAAACCCAACTCTGAAAAAGTTGGGATGCTGTGTAAAATGTATATAAAAACAGGATCAGCAAATCACATAAACCCATATTTTATTCAAACTGCAAGACAGAAAATATATCATGTTTAAACTAAGTTTACTGAATTTAATGGATCCAACAGGTCTCAAAAAGGCTGACACGAAGTAGGCGTGAAAAAACCAACAAAAAAGCTTGAGGAAGATTGTTCTGTGCGAAGTGGAAAGCTGTTCTGTGCTCAGTCAAACTGAAATATAAACTGAATTGGAAAATACGGACACCACATTCTTCATTCAAAAGGAGCAGGACCATCCAACTTTTTATGAGCACTCTCTCAGGATGCATTTAACAGCATGGCTTGTAGTAGAAGAGGTCAGGTGCTGAACTGGCCCACAGTCCAGACCTTTCACCAAACAAAACCCCAGACTGTTGAGCAGCTAGAACCCTATATCAGACAAAAATGGAACATTCCTCTGCTAAATGTCCAGCAGCTGATCTGATCAGTTCACAAATGTCTTGACTGTTGTAAAATAAGAGGGGATGCCAAAAGTGGTAAACAGCTTCCTGAGATGTTTTGCGATGTTTTGAACTCACACATGCACTGTCAACACAGTTCCATCCACTGTGCAATACTTAATTTTACGTGCAATAACCCACACTGTAAATACATAACACTATTTTTTACATTTTATATTTTTTCTGAATACTGTTCATATATATATGAAAAATAGTGCTGCAGAAATTGTGCACCTCACCCCCTTTTCTTTTCCCACATGTTTGCACTGAGTAGGAGATGCTCTGTATCTCATTGCATATCTATACAGTGACAATAAAGGCATTCTATTCTATTTTACTGCCATCAAATTGAAAATGACTTTATTAACTCTTTAAATTGTACATTTTCTTGCTTTAAACATTCGATTTGCTCCAATATCCTACTGTGAATAAAAACAGGTTTACAGGTTTGTAAACCATTGCATTATGTTGTTATATACATTTTACCCCAACGTTTTGGGAGATATGGTTATAGATTTTCTTGCAGGTGTTAACTAGCGAGGTAGCTGGATTCTTGAGCTACTTGAGCTCAGATTTAAGACAACTCCCAATTGGTCAGATTAATCTGCATCATTTATGGGTTACTAGAGCCGTATATTTAGGTCTCTCAAAAACTGGAGAGTGCTTCATCAGTGAAAGACGAGTTTCAATAACTGTAACTGATTCTGGTGGTGGTGGTTCATTGATCTAATTTGTTGAAGAGACAGACAGATGTTCATTCAACGTGTTTTTTTAAGTGCCTGCACCAATCAACAAAGTTTCAAGGGAAAACTTTCCAGATGGTTCCATGTAAAAACACCCCAGAATGCTCCACTCCTGTTCACCGGTTAGCTGCCAACTTACAGTGTTTGTTAAGTGCCGAGTAGGCTGTAAAGATTGTTTTTTTTACTAAAACTGCTGCTTGCTGTGGTTCTGATTTTCTGGCTTTTCTGAAGCTTGAAAATCAAAACTGCAAATATACCACAGCACTCCATTAAGTTGGCTGACAGTACAGTGCAGTCATGGTTAAAACCTAAGCTTACTTGTGTTTTATCGTAGGCTCAACTCAATAACTGAATCCATTCCAGAACCATATGAACCTAAATCACATCTCTCGTTTTTCAGATTACACCTGTAATCCATGATTTATGAGCGGTGTTTCTACCTTTGAGTTGTTGTGTCTCTCTACTTTGTCACCATCCTTCTCTTTCTTCTTCTCCCGCTCCTTCTGTGAACAAAATGAAGAGATAGTGTGAGACAGTGGCGTATAGTTGGTGCCACCAACACACATATCCATTTAACTCATGTACACACATTTATGTGGACCCGTTGTGCTCATTTTCAGCTCCACATTTTTATTCTTTGACTCTACTAGACTAGCTTTGCACGATTCCTAGTTGAAATTGTTCTTATGCAAGCATGCTGGACCCTGCAGCCCATCAGTTCATCCTCTATGTGAAACCAGTTGTTATAGCTCCTCTCTTTTAAAGCCAACTTAATTCTGATTGGCTGTCACATGCAAATAGAAGGTAAACTGCAGGTGGGTGGGGTTCTGTGTCTGAGTGGAGCGCATTTATCGAAAGACTAGAAAAACTATCAGCAGCCTGAGTTTTGGCCCACAGGGATTACACAGTCACCTCATTATATGAAACTCTGGCCAAGTGTAATGTCCACCACTGTCACAATATGACAGAAAATAAGGAAAAGCATAATAAGTCCATACTAAGCCTGGGTCAGTGTGGTTTTTTGACTGGAATTCTGGTCATACAAGTCCCTCCTTCTTCTTCTTCTTCTTCTTCACATTGATATTTACATGGATGGTGACAACTGGAGCTCTTTTTGGCTCAAATAGACATGAAACTGATGAAAGCCGCAGTACAAAATGACAAGCTACCAATGGAATCTGAAAAACTTAATTTTGGAAACTGCAATTTCTTAAAATGAATTGGTAACTTTATATTACGGCCCATGACTAAGGCTTGCAAGTCCCCTGTAATAGAATAAATTTCAGTGTGTATCAAGAAGAATCACAGTGCTTTAATTACAGAGCTGTTCACCGGTACCATCGAAACACGTGCTGCTAGACTCGACCCCAGACATGCTCGCAACAACTGCAAGTTGTGTTTGTGAAACTACATTCAGTAATGTATTTTAAAATTCACCTCAAACTTCAATCAGACGATTTAGACCAGTGTTTCCCCAACTTTGGAGCCGCAGCACATATTTAACATGAGAAAAATCACACGGCACAATGTCACAAAAAGCATATTGGTCATTTTTCCCCATGCAGAAGGTATAGCAGAATTGGCTCGGTTTGTCCCCAGTACACTGTTTTTGCTTTCATCTGGGACCAATCAGATTGACTTTCAAATATTTATCCATTGCTATTACGCCAGCTCGAAGCTGACCGGGAGGTCGAGGCACAATGTGCCGGGAGAGCTGTGTTCCTCCCGGCTTTAGTAGGTCTCGACCTCCCGTTAGCTTCGAGATGGTGGGTGTCAGATCTCCGAAAACGTTGGAGCACTTTTGCAAATATGTGATGTCTTGTAAACCGAGCAGATATCTGACGTTTACACAACTACATTCACGCCTCAAAATATCTTAAAAGTTTATTTTGTGACCCAGAAAGAGTAATATTACAACTAAGTAGCTGCCGCCATTGTTGGAATTCAACTTTTGCGAGATCTCGCAAAAGTTCATCGTAATTTTTTTTTCTCCCATGTCCCTTGCGGGGCTCCGTAGGAAACACTGATTTAGATACACCCTGTATTTTATTTGAAATTTAAGCGAAATTACATTTACCTATAATATTTAAAGTTCACCACATAAGGAGGTAATGAGGCTGATTTACACAAAAAAATAAAATAAAATTATTTACAGTGTAATTTGTGTCTCTTTTCCTGTAAAATACCCAGAATTTTGGCACTACCTTAAATTTCTTATGCACTAATTACATTTACTTATAATGTAAATTCTTGTTTCCTGTAAATGCACTACTTAAAATAATTTACACAGTAAGTATTAAATAATTAATTTAATTATGTCTTTGTTTTCTGTAACAACCTGATGTGTTACTTCCTTATTCTAGTGTGCCTGCCTTTAAGTATTTGGAGGTAAATATAATTACACTGTAATTTCAAATACCTTGAAATTCAATTTAGTTACAGGGGAATTATGCCCCTATTTGCAGGTGAGATTATTAAGTGTTACTAATTAATTAATTAGATGAATTTGGCAGAACTGAGCAGCTTAAGAGCACCAAAGTTCATTCCTACCCCTGACCCTGTTCTCCTCCATGACATCAGGCTGAAGCTCATCAGCACAGAATTACATAAAAAAAAATTGAAATTGGTAAAAACCATAAACCATCGTGACATTATCTGGGAGAGTTGCGTGTTTCTATGCTAAGTGGGATATTGCTGATAGCAATAACTAACATGGCAATAATAAATAATTCAATTTAACCTCCTTAATTTTCTCTGCTTAGCTCAGGATAATATTTACATCAGCATAAGTTAAAAACTCCAGGTAACATTAACTATAATAATGCATGTTTACACACAGTGGGCTTGGCCATACATGCATACAATTTGTAGCAGTTATTAACAGATTTACAATTCTACACTCAACAATTCAGGTGCAACAGAGCAAATCAAACTGATAATTACAATATTTTCCTGACACACTGAACTGACACTTTGCTGTCCTGTGATACTATAATTAACACGTAACACCAGAGGTGTGGACTCGAGTCACATGACTTGGACTCGAGTCAGACTCGAGTCACATGACTTGGACTCGAGTCAGACTCGAGTCA